CAGAGAGCAGATATTTCAATGGCAATTCAAATCACAGTTAAATTTCCACCGAGAGCAAAGTTCCCAGGAAGTTTAGCTTTAGTCAGTTTCTGTGTATTCATATTCCCAGGAGCATCACCAAGCTCTCTGTTGACAGAAAGTCTAAAGAGCATGCAGTGCTAGGCAGTTTCATGAGAGTGAGCTGTGTACCAATGCAAGACACTCAACTACACTAGAATCTGAAACACACAATTTATCTCTGAATAATAACATTGGTTTTTTATCCCACCCTCAAAAAAAAGGATCTGAAACAACCAGCTCCTTTCAAATTCTACATATTCACAGGAGAGGGTGTTTGTGAAGAGGACCCCACAAGCACATCACTTCTCTAATATGTGCCCAGCTTAGTTTCACCTGCTTCCATGTGCTCCCTTCCCAATTCCTACAACCTGCTTGCACATCCTGTTTCACTATGAACACAAGCTTCTTCCCTGTGGCAGCAGCACTGCCTTCACTTCTCCTCATGGTAAGCTTAGACAACAATCAAAATGGGAGCAAAAAAACCAGACGAATTTACGGGTCTGAAGGGTGTTGGAGGAGCAAAAGCACGCAGAGAGAGAGGGTCTGTAAAGAGGCTCCACCAGCAAAGGAAGCACAAGCAATCACAGCAAGTCTTCCTCTCACCATATACATGTGTTTTTCTTGATGGACCTCTTAGTGTAAGGATTTCTTGTGTTGTTTAAAACTCATTTACTTCTTCATTTATGAGGTACAACTTTTTATTTTAAATACACGTAGAAAATTTGTTGAAAATTAAAATACTCACATGAAATTTTGCCATGCTAGCAACAGGGACCTTCTGTGTGTATGTGCACGAGCAGGGGCATGCACACAAACAGACGTGCATTCACATCTGTGCTATATATCTTCTGGAAAAGGACTGTTCCCTTAAGTGTCCTCAAAGTGAGAAAAGGAACAGAGGGAGTGTGCAGCACTGTCACACAGCCAGGCCATGCTCCTCTGCTCCAGCCTCAGAGACAACCAGCACTGAAATCAAAGTCCATTTTCCTGCAGGTCCCATCCAGTCCCTCCCCTTGTCTGAAGGTACATCATCCCTGCAGCACACGGCTGCATTGACTCCCGGGTTGCAGCCACTGGCGGGGCAAGAGGCTGGGCCACCCCTGCCTTTGTGCTGCTCTGATGACAGTGCCATCAGCCACAGAGGGGGAGGACAGTGTCTTCAGGGTCTGGGATGCAACGAGGGAATCCAGGTCAGCATCAGAATTTAACAGAATTGTTCTGCTGAGTTATTAACGTCACAGTCCTACTCCAGACCTGAGTTTGTTGCACTGTCTTGCCTTCCCACTCCAAATGAATTTGCTGAGCAATTTTAAGAAACAGAAAAAGGCTGTGACCAATTTTCAGGCCTTCTGCTTTAGACATTAAAAAAAAAACAAAACCTACAACGTTTCCCTCTTGTTTTTCTAAATAAAAATAATGTATAGCCCTAACTGGATAATAAATATGCTCAAAAGCTGTCCTTAAGTAAAAGCTTTTGATAACAAATTGCCTGTGCTAACCGCTATTTTACTGTTGAATTTTTTATTGTTGCTTAAGCACTGCAATTATGCTAATAAGCCTGAGAGGATGGTACACTAAAGCATTGAATGTGACAGATATAATACTCAATAAAATGTTAATCTTACCTGAAAATTGGAATCAAACAGCCTTATTAGTATTTATGGATATGGCATCTCCAACATGTTTCTTAAGAGGTATATATATATATGCAATAGATATTTCTAAATATATCCTACTATTTCTCATGCCTCCATACAATTTAATTCCAGGTGGCTATTACCCCTGCTGCTAATTGCCAGTCCCTTTTGGAATAAGAAAAAAAGTGTCACTTTCTGGGCCATGCAAAACTCCTGTATATGGAAGGGCTTTTCCCCTCGGCACCTGAAGGATGGCAGCTGTCCATGGGGATGGGAATACCTCTCCCCAGTTCATGGCATGGCCACCAGACTTGTGAGGGTATGGCACCAGACAACAAAGGCACTGCTCTGCCATCCTCAGTTCCTCCTTTTTCCCCATATCTTCTCCTATTATGAGCAAGGCAGGTAAATCCAGAAAAGGGTTATTTACAGGTGCTGGAGAAACAACTTCTGGATTTTAAGATGGGCCTAAAGACAAATTTATTTATTTTATTTTTGAATTTCTCAGCCGATGCTGACAGGCAACCAGACCCATCTTCACTGCAAGTTACGGTGCTGCTGACTTGGTCTGGCATGGAGGTGCTGCATGACCTTCCACAAGCTGCATTGCTTTTTGCACCATTATTTCACCACCCAGTCCCAGTCTGCTTTCTCAATTGATAGCATACATTTTTTCAGGGAACTTGCTGCCTTTCACCACACGTAGCTTTTTTTTTTTTTTTTTGGCCAAACCTATGGCTTTCAGATCCAGCCTCAGAGCTCCACTAACATGAACTTCCTGTGGTCAAAGCAAGTGATTTTCAATACCTTCACTTTCTCATCTATGGAAGGAAGAATAGATAACCTCAGAAGAGCCACATGCTTCTGACAAACTACTTCTACGCAACAGACTGTGTGGCTTTCAAACACTGCAGGTTAATGCCTTAATAGCAGCTGCTGGCTCCCAGTTTCACTCCTCATGCTGCTCCCAGCCACAGGAGTCAATTTTGCTGACAGGACAGCACAAACATTGACAATCACCATTATATTTCCTGACAGTAAAGCAAGACTCTTGACACTGGATGCTGCAAGCCTCCTTGGTGGCAAACATTAAGTGGGAGATATCTAGGAACTGTTTCCATGAATAGTCACAGCAAGGAAAATGCAACCAGATTCCCACTGAAATCTGGGATTCTCAAAGCACTCAGAGATCACAGCAAGCAACCCACAGGCCACAACTCACAACATACCAGGATGCACTAAGGCTCTCCTAAGCCACTCTTGGAACACACACTGGCTTGTGCCGAGTGCAAGGATCGAATGCAAGGATGAGAACGGGATGACTTTGCAGGACAGAGCTTAGAGCAGCTTCACAAAACCTCATTTGCAAGCAAAAGCAAGGAGTGCAGCATTAGGGGGAAAAAAATTCAGTCGCAAAATCAAAGAGAACTACTAATTGACTGAGCTGGCACCTTCAAGATTCAGGAGATACACCCAAGGATCCTCCTCTCCAAGTGAGCCCCAGCACCAGATGCCAAATTTCAGGTGCAGCCGCCAAGTTACCCAGGCACAGAGCTGCAAAGTGCTGCAGGATCATAAGGCAGTCACTCCCACAGAGGTTGCAGGACTCACCCCTGCCATGTTAAGTGAGTCTTGTCATTATTTTCAACCCTGCAGGGAAATCTAAATTGAACTTTGGCATATTGTTTTCTTTTGCTAAGCAGCAATGCTTGAATGTTAACTCTGGTCCTGACAGGCATATTTATGGAGTATTCTTTGCAAAAAATCTTACCCTGACCAGTCCGAAAGGTCAGAATCATAAAAAATAATAACAACAATAAAAGAAGCACAAGGTTGGAAAGCCATCACTGCCATTGGCACAACCACTCAACTTATTAACCATCCTTGAAACAAGGTGAACTGCAAGGTCTTGGACTTATTTGATTGACTGAGATCAAAAGATCAGGAGGGCACACAGTAAATTGTATCTTTCCATGAATGCATTTTGCTTTCAAGATTTCAACAGATAGTTGCAGGAATTGAAAAGCTCAAGAAGGGAGGGGTAGGGAAGAGAAAAAAAAAAAAAAAAACAACATGTAAAAAGGTGACTTCAGAAAGGCATCCCTTATTTCTCTCTTGACACCATCTGCATTTCTTAGAACTATTTGGAAGTTTCTTCCATGTTCCAATAGCCCTGGGACACAACAGCTTATCTCTGCTAAGCAGAGGACGATAATGAACAATAAGATACTAGTGTAACTCCAGGGCAGACCAGTATTTGCTGACACTAAGAATGAAATATAAATAGTACAGAAACCAAAGTCCAACAAGAGGTTGAATTTCAGATGTCCTGTGAGATAGGACAGATATCTCACTGATCTTCTTCACCAGACCAAGGAAGACAAAGTACCTGAACCCCACTCTTCTCAGTATGATGGCTCAGAGGCTGCCGAGCCCAGGCTCAGTTTGTCATCAGCAGCTCCCAGGGAAGGGAGGAAGAAGCAAGGGAACTAAAGGAGCAGCCATCTTCAGGATATAATTTCAAGACCCAGCTGGTGAGCCAGCATTTTTAAACTCAGGAAAAGCCTGCTGTGTTTGCTGTCAAAGCACGACAAAGAAACACAATGGAGAACAAGAACAGAAGAGAAAGAAGAAAAATTAAACTCTCCTCCATTTCATCAGCCCTGGCTCCAATCTCTCTGCGTTCCACATGATATTTGTGTTTTGCTCAGTATATCTGTAGCTGTAGCGTTGTGTTCTCATGTCACAATAAAACAGATGAGATTGTCCACCTGAGAGTAAATCTCTTACATGGACCACAGAAGAAAACCAAACTCCCAGAAACTTTCTACAAAGGAGTCAGAATTGATACAACCTCCTGTTTTTACCACAAGTTTATGTTGCATGCCAACAACAGAGGATTAAACCTCTTCTTCTCACTGAGCTTACACTTCCCTCCAGAAGAACATCACCATTCAGGTAACAAAGACACTGAGCACCAGAGTTAATTGCTGTTGTATCAATTCATCATCAAACCATGCAGCTCATTCTGCACAGATACACTGACCTTTGCCTTTCAAACTATCAGCTTTAATGCAGGAGATCATCACTAATGCCTCAGCTAAATTTCTCTTGCTGCAACTTAAGTTGATAACTTGTCTTATTTACAGTGGACAGATTTACAGTTTTTTCCCTTTCTCCATGACAAGTTCATTATTTCCAAAATTTACAAGCTGAGGCACCAGTGCTGCTTGACTTCTCTTTGCCATTCTGCTTCTGCCCAAACCACATTCTTAATCTCTGCATGTGCATTTCTCTTCTTACCCCAAGAGAGCGGGCAGTTGGGTATCAAGAGGCTGTTTCAAGAGAAGACGCTCACATCCAAAGGCTGATGCATTCAGGCACACCCAGTTACAAAGTACTCTGAAACATGGAAAAGAAAAGAATTGTCTTCAGTATGGTAGACAGTCCAGTCCAGTAGTAAAGGAAAACCCAACAACTCTGAAGTGGAATTTTTCCCACCCCATTATTTAACATGCAAACAGATCTTCAAAAGCAACATCAATGACTGCAGATACATCGTGAGCCACCACTCAAACCTGGCCACACTTTCTCTGACAACCACCATAAGGGTTTGATAAATCTCAGTTCTAGGAAAGTGTTCATGGATTTTGCAGAAAGTTCTGCCAACCTATAAGTTATACACAGCACACATCAAAATAAAATGGCTCCAACTCCAAACATTTATGTACTATGACAGACGACAAATCTTAATGTTACCACTGGTGACTTTATTTACAGTGTCACTGAAACCAACAGAGACAAGACTTCTAGTCTACTCTGAGATTTAAACGTGTGTAATTATGGGAGAGACACAGAGGATAAAAGTCAGGCCTTATGAATGGCTGAATAACTTTTGTGTTCCCAAGATAGTCCTTACCTCCATCTTCAGGATATTCTACCTAGCAAAACAAAATCTTTCTCATGAACCCAAGGGTTTGGTGACAATGTAGAAAGAATAAAGAAAGGATTTACACTGAGTAGTGTTTGGAAACACAGGGGAGAGTTCTGAATATCAAAAACATCCCAAATTTCATGAGAGATAACAAGAAAAAGGAAGAGCAATAATAATACATTTCCCATCCTACTTCTGGAGACTCTCAGAAAAGCAGAGCTAAATGGTAGCAGACAATTTGCCACAACTGCATCTTTCAGCAGTAGATCACCTTTTGCACCCCACCTCATCTAAATTCCTGTCTCCTCTCAGCAGGGGCTTCTCCTGGTCCCAAAGGATCAAGTGGCTTTGTAACAAATACACCTTTTCTGAGGGCTGAAGTCAAGAAACACTCAATTTGCCATCTGCTGTGAAAACAAGATTTCTGTTACACATCTAAGGATGTGCCAATGCAAAAACTCGGGGTCTTCTCTTTCGCATACATCATCCATCCAACTGTTCCTTTGGCTACTGCACTTTGTTCATCTCCAAGTTTCTACTTGGGATGTTTTTTTTTCCCCTCTGCAATCCTTCTCAGCTGCCCTGGGCTTTTGCTTTCCTTCATCACTTGCACTCTTACCAATGCCAACACTTACAGCCAGCCAGCCCAACTGCTGTCAGCACGGGAAGGTGACAAACTCCTATTTAACACAGATTTGATAACAGAAGTACTGTTTTCAACGCTAGAGAGGAATACCTGCACCAATAATGTCCCTAAAGCAGCACACAGTAGCTGAGGAGACTAAGAAATAAATGCCTCTTAATGAAGACAAAAAACTCAAAACAATCTCAAAATATATGATGGACAAACTACTAAGAGTCTAAATGCATGCTCTTCTTTAAGAGTGAAAGTAGCTCCAAGGACTTCAGCAAGATCATCTGCAGCATCAGACACGTCACCTCCCAAAATATTAGTGAGATAAGGATGTTTAGCAAAGGATAGAGATATGAGGAATGCTTCCACCAAGAAAATACACCCATTTCTACAGCTGAATTATAACAGCTGTTGAAAACCATGGAGTAGCATTGAATGGCAGCCCAGGACAGGGAGCCAAGACGACTACCACATGCAATTGAAACTGCCAAGAGATTAAGTTAGGTCAAATGTAATTACACAAATTGGATCCTGGCCAGAGTGCTGGCTGGTTTAAGAAAATTAAAAGAGGTGTTCAAAAGTTTCAGAGATGGAGTCCTCCTCCTGTTAATTATTTGGTGAGTCAGTCACTGAAGTCTCTACTCTGGGACGCTGTCTGAAAAAGGGGAAAAAATGAGGCATAAACTTGAAAGGCATTAGAAGCGATTAGCAAAAGCCTTTGTTCTCCATGGCAATCCTGGCTGCACCAGTGCACGAAAGCCTTTCATGTTCATGCTGAAAAGTGGCCTTAGTTCCTTTGATACTTCTGTGAGGAAGCGTTTAAATTTACAAATATCCTGCTGACAGAAGTTACAGACAACAGTCGAGGAACTTCTGCTTAGCCCAGCCAGATCATACCCATCTCTCAGGCAGGTAGTACTCCTGCTGAAAGGAGGAATGACAACACGGGCACACACTCACCGAGACCTGAAGACTCTACTTGCTAGTGGTGTATGAAAGCCAAGTCATGTCAATAAGGAGGTTGCAGCCAGGTGGGACAATGGTCTCCTTGCCTTCATTCAGTTTTCAGTAGATGGGGAGCATGCAAGGCAGGCAATGGTGAGGAGACCAGAAAGGATGCTTTGTGGTCCGGTAGCTAAGCATCACTTGGAAAGATTAGATCCCGTTTATGCCTCTGCCCTAAACCTTCTGAATGATAGGAGCAAAGTCACGTATATCATTTTTTCCCCATATATTTATTGCTTTGCCTTTTCTGGCTAAGATACAGAAAGACCACGTCCAGAAGAGATTAAGATTCTTTGTTCAACCTTTAATTGAGATTTGTACTATAACCATGTACAGTGCTACAAAACATGAAGTGTTCTGAAAAAACAGGCCTTGTAAGTCTCAGTTTTGGCACCTGAAAGAAGTAGATGCCTCTGCTACTTCTGCATCTGGAAGTCATCATTAGAGATACACACATTGCTGTCTTTGAAGCAGCTGGATGCGACAGTAAAAGCATTACAGAATTGGAGATTAACCTTTTTGGGTAGCTTATTCAGTGAAACGTTCAGATGATGCACATTAAACAAACCATTTTATGACTGATGCAAAAAAAATAGGGAGACATGAAATAACTATCTTCTCAACAAGTGCCATACACTCGGCGTGTCAAGTGACATGGCTTCCTCTCGCAGTGACAGCAGGTGAACATGCAACCGACGCCTCTGCCATATCGATTTCATGTCGTTTTCCCTTTTTTTCTTTTTTTTTTTAACTTTTCATAAAACAAGCCAGGAAAAGGCAGAGATTTCACAGCACAGATTGGTGCAATTTGTGCTAATGGCCTAAGTGTAGATGCAAGCAGCAGCTTGCTTCTCTCTGTGTGGAACAGCCAACGGGGACAATTCTGGTGGTACAACTGCTACCACGGCACACCTTGCCCCAGCAACACCTCCTCCTCCCATGGCTCCACAACAAGCAGGGCAAGAACTAAGAGCACAGGAGAAAGTCTCTGCTGTCTTGCCATTCTGTGCAAAATCCAGGGGCAAATGTGGAAAATGTGAAAATGGGGATATGTGGAAAAATGTTGCAGTATGCGCTGACCACACACAAGCTGCTGGTCTTCCAAAGACAGTCACGTGTTCTTCCAGGTAGCAAAACCACAAATGTCCTAAATTCCTCATCCCTGGCAATCCTATGACAAGGCAATTGTTCCCGTGGAGTCCTCAGGTACCCACAGATTTCTAAATACGAGCAAACCAGCATGGCAATTCTTCCCATTCTTCCCAAACACCTTCCAACCAGCCCCCACTGAAGCCACTCCCACTGGAAAAACCCACAAAAAGAGGTTTTGACAACAGCAGAGACCTAGTATAGGAAACCAGAGCCAAAAGGGTACAAGCCAGAGAAGATTGTAAGCAGCAGGTATTGTAATGCTTTCTGAGTTTAAATTATTGAGCAAGGTCAACACAGAGCATGTATTTACCTCCAGGCCTGTATATGCCCCAGGCTGCCCGCACCAACAGCGCTGAGAGGAAGGCAGCACTGGGTCTCTGCTGGGTCTCTGCAGCAGAGCCCCCTGGCAGCTCCTGGCCCTGAGCATCCTCATTAGCAACAGGTGGAGGGGACACCTGACAACAATGTCATTGCCCTGAACAGCACAGGCCTCAGCCCTTCTCCAGCCAGGATGAAAAGCTGGGCAGCGCATTCCCGTTGCAAGGAGCACCAACCCCGCTCCTCGAGGAACGCCACTGCATCACCAGTGCCACGTGTGGGCACCACTGCAAGTCAAGGGAAAGCACAGGGCTGATTCTACACACACTACAAAGAACAGACTTTTCAGCATAATGAGCACACTGGGCCAGCCCACAAAGCTGAGGCCGAGTAAACCAGGGCAGCGTGCAGGGGGACATCCCCCTGAGGCAGCAGTGGTGATTAACTGACAGAGATAATGGCCTCCAGTACCTGAAATGAAGTACAAGGAAATGGCACAGAAAGGACTAATGCCAAGTGGCAACAAAGACAGAGTCAGGGCTGTTGTTCAAATAAGATTTTTTTTTTGCCTAGGTTACTCAGTGTTAAAAAAAGAAGTTTCCACATGCAGGGACATCCTGCTCACTGTATTAAATTAAAGGGATGATTCAAGAGGGAACGCTTTCGGTAGACTGGGGGGGGAAATCAATTCCAGGTTGCTATGGACAACTGGGCTGTCTCCTGTAAAATAGAATCGGATTCAGCTCTACGAACCTGAACGCAAAACATTCCCTCAAATACAACATACACAGGCTCACTAAATTAATGAATACAATAAAATACAGACTTGTGTCATCTCCCAGGATTTTTGGCTGAATGAATGACATGCTCAAACTCGCTAATTACTGCAAAATACAGGACTGGAGTTTGGCTCAGCAGTGGCTTTCTGACTGCCAGTCCAACACCGACCGCTGCCATGGCTATTTAATGGCCAAATAAACCAGAGCAGTGCTCAGATTCACCTTGCTCTGGGCCCTTTCATGTGCTCTGGGCTTTCAGCGGGATCTAAAACTATGTTCTGCTGATCCAGGCTCCTGCAGATCTCAGCCAAAAGGGGCAGCAACAGCTTAGCCTAAGGCTTACAAGCATGTCCTAGCTGATACTGGACAGAGGCAGTTTTAACCTGCCCATGATCCGTGAATAGCCTGAATAGAAACAACATTTCCATTTGAGTAGCTGACCTGTGGTCACAGCTGCCAATAGAAACCTCGCATGGACAGACCACTGAGGACAACATGGTGGCCATAGTCAAAGAGGTGTCCTCTCCTCATACCTTGCACTGGAATAATTTCAAGTAGGTTTTAAGCACTATACCCACTC